TATTACGTCGAGTCGTACAGTGACCGACCTCGACAAGTTGTTTTTAAATAAAAATAAATCGATTTTCACTATAAATTAGTTATTTTTAAATTAAGACTAATTGGGTTATGACTTAGACTTTTAGTTCCCTGAAAAAGTATTAAAATTAAATATATTCTTAAATATCGTGTTATTTTTATTTAATAATTCAACAAATCTAATTTTCCGATTGGCTAATCGGTAACCGCTATATTTACCCTGCCAGCCAACGTCGAATGCATCGACTGCCGCTCAGCATAACTTCATCAACATCAGTCAAAGTGAGTAGACGTCAGTTACGATAATTTATTACGAGTATAATAATATTTATTTAGTTTATGAGCTGAATACGATCAAAATATTGAATACGTCATTAGTGAAATATATTTATTTTTGTTTAACTGTAGATGTCATTTGTTTTCAATAATTTGGTAAATTTTTATTATTCCGCGCCCCCCGTACACCGCGGTCGAGGAGGTTTTGGCGGCGGAAGAAGAGGACGTGGTGGTATTGGGCAGCGCGGGCCGGGCCGAAATGCTCGTCGTAAGTATCTGAATATGAAATTGTAATAATAACATTAGGGTTGCGATAAATTTATAAGGCGAAACCAGGACAACACAAACACAATATTGAATAATACGTATACTTTTTATATAACTTTTAATATATTGAGATGACCAGTGACGTATATAAGGGGGGGATGTGGAGGTCAGATCTTCTCTAAGCCTTTTTTTAAATGTTTTAAGAAAATAAATTTAAATAATAAGAAAAAAAATGATTAAATAAAAATAATGGTTTGTTTGCAAATTATACACCTCATACAAAACATACAAAAGTTATGTATACGCCACTGAAGAGGATCATTAATGGCCGGCAATATATTTTAAAACAATGTAAAATAAAATATATTATATATTATATGAGTAAATTACAAATTATGTTTTTATTATATATTGTTAATTGGTTACGATTAAAAATGTACTTTGAGATAAAATTGTTGAAATTAAAAATTAAACAATACTACATTTCCTCTAAACGTCTAAGCTGGGACATATAGACGTCCCGAAAAAAATTTTCGGGACACCGGGACGCGAAGTCCAAATCTGGTGACAATCCCGGTTTTCTGGGATGTATGGCAACCCTAAATTGCATACATATTGCATTAGCAAAGTACAATAATGGTTAATGTTTTTAATATTGATAATATTTCAGGCTGTTATAACTGCAGAGCAGTTGGGCATTTGGCCCAGCATTGTCGTAAGTATAATGTAATATGCATATATTACTAATAAATAATAATACGCATATTCCTGAGTCATATAAGGATAAAACGTACAGAGAATAACTATTGCACACATAAACTGTAATGAGTGCTACGTGCGAATTACAAATCACGAATAACCGCAAACAACATCATCATTCGAATAGGACAATCAAGGCCAAGGGCAACCAAGCGGCGAAAACAACACAATTAAAACAGAATCAAACAGAGTATATAAAGGCTCCGTTTCACCACCAACGGCAGACGTGTCTAGCTATCAGTACAAGCCCTTCTGAGTTTTGTCTTTGATATTGTTAGTGCACCAATTTATAATTTGTATCTGTAAATCATTTATTTGTATTTATTAAAGTGTTTAAAAGTGTTTCAATTAATTATTAAATCAATTTATCCTACTCCAAACAACATCATTACGATAGGTACCTGTTTTTATTGGGTACCACGTAACAATAAGAATATTTTATATTTCACTTTCTTGAGATGGGCTTACACGAGTCACGAAATAAAATAATAAAATAAAATAAATAATAAATTAATATATGAATTAATTATAAATAAATATTTAAATTTCAATTATTATTATTTTACTTTCTAAGTGGAGCGAGAGGTCTTATGGTTTTACCATGATGTTTTTTTTTTTCTGAAAGTAATTTTTCGGTAGGTGGGAAAAATACTGGTTCAAAAGTTTCATATAGAATATTTTTAGAATAGAAATGAGCCAGTGATACTTTAGAGAGGTTATTTTCTCAACATTTCAATAGTATTGAACAATTAAAAAATTCGGATCAGACTTTAATTCAAATCCAGATTGGATAGCCGGATTTTCATTATTACTTATATATCAACACTTTGCTCCGAATCGTCTTATTAAAGAAATTACTTATCGTTATTTATTATTTAAAATTAAGATTCATTTGCAGAAAAAGTTAGGCTTATTAATCTTGTATAAACTTTTACTTAACTCTATCACCTGTGAGTTGTAATATTTATGTTATTAATTTTTGCAAAAAGTAATAATCTAGGTATACTCATCAAATGTTGAATTGTTTTAGAACGTTTTTGCTCAAAAAAGCAATTTATGCTTCATAGTTATAAATTATAACTTATAATTTAATTTAAATGCCCAGAAAGCGAAGAGCTTGAACAGCATCAGTTTTTTATTGAAATTTTGCTTACCATATAATAATATAATTATATTCCCTTAACTTTTGTAATTTATATTAGGTGCTCCACTTAGGCAAACCATGGTCGAGAAGCCGGCATCGTCGACCAGCGACGAGATGGCAGCGCCATCAACCAATGTTGAGAGGCTGCCACCGTCGACTGGCGGCGATGAAGCAACATCGGCCATGGTTGTTGAGCACAGCAACTCATCATCACCATCACCATCCACCAGCACAGCTGTGGAAGAAGATTCTTTGTCAGCGGTATGGATGTCCGCAGCGACAAATATGCAAAAGTAAGAATATAAAAAAGTGTAAGTAAAGAATTGGAAAAATACTAACTTAAAATTATTTATTTCAGCTGGACGGTAACAGATACGGTTTAAATTTGTAATTTTTATATTATAAATAAATAAAAATTATTTAAACTATATTGGATTTATTTTAATGTTTATATTTTGTTGTAATTTGGGACAATCAATCGAATCATTAAGTATATTGTATAAAAATTTTAATTTTAGCTGCATAGATAGTTTTTCTAATGTAATCATATTATAGAAATGTATTGTGATGTAGGGACAATGAGGTACTCTGCAGATATGAAATTAAAAACATAAAAATCTTATGAAGTTATTTTGAATTTGATTCAGATATTTCTGTGCTACAGAATAGGATGCCAAATAAATAGAGCATAATCAAAATAGGAGCAAAATAATATTGAACGAGCAATGATTATATATTTCCCACTTATACGTTTACCTAGAAAAATATATATGACTAATTCTAACTTATATAAATATAGTAAAAAAGTAAATAAATAATATATTATTAAAACATTAAAAACACAACTCTTCAAATAATTTACAACATATCTATAATAAACATGCTAGAAAAATTTATAAAATTCATAATTAATAAGAAAAAAACAATTGAACTTGGTTGGTTTATAAATCAACTTATACATTTTTAATATAATAAAAGTTAAACAACAAATCTCATTTAAAAAATAACATAATCAATAATTAGGTACAGTTTATATAATGTTATTACAGTCTCTTTATTTCTTTATAGGTATTGGTGTAAAAAATGAAAGTTGATAAAAAATAAATAATAATAATATATATTTTTAAATTCATCTAATAAATTTCTAATAAAATAAAAGTAAAACAACAAATCTCATTTAAAAAAATAACATAAAGTATATCTGACAAAATAAAATTATCCATCAATATATTTTACCAGTAAAAGTTATATTTAATTAGAATACCACTTGATATAATTAGAGTAATTTAATATTAATTTTATATATGTTAAAGATTATATAAAACTATTGGTACCATATTAACATTTTTATCATAGTTTTACTTTTACAATACAATAAATTAGTAATTGTCATATTATTTATAAGAACATATTCTATATATTTACTTAAATATAGGTGGGTTCAAATTTATTTTAGTAAATACCCATATACCCAAAAATATTGTATGAATAATATGTTATAAAATAATAAATAATGTAATACAGGTCCTAGATACATATGATGTACTAAATTATATAGTAAAATTTTTTTGTACCAAATTATTTTTATTTTTTATAAAATATAGAACAAATACATATAAAAATCTAATTAAAATATTGAATAATTAAAAATTAAAATGTACTTTGAGACATAGAAGAAATTTTGTTATATGTTTGTTCAATATTTGCTACATTGAACACCTGCACTTCAGCTTCAGCCATACTAGAACTGGCATGCGAAAAATTATTTAATTTAATATAATATAAAATTAAGAAAATATTAACTAGGCTTATTCACTTGATGATCTGGTAGATAAATGCTAAGCTTGTTGTATTAGAGAGTTATTTGCATTGGTGGCATTGTCTTCTGCATCAGAATCGAATGCCATATCATCAGTTATGCTCTACTAAAATCTCATATTCTGATAACATCTGGAAAAAAAATTGATAAATATTTTGTAAGTGGGTCATTTTAGACACCAAAAGTGTATATTTATCGTATGAGTATGAAATTATGATTCAGAATTTACTTACTTCAAAATTGATATTGGAGTTTGAAAATATATTTTTTGAGTTCAAAACCACAATCACAATTGATCAATCTTTTAATGAAATAAGATCATTTGAATGTAAGATTTAATATATAAATATTTAGGAAATTTAAAACACATTTTTTTTAGTTAGATAATTTTTGTATTACATACCTACCTATGTTAAAAATGAATATTTTTATAACAGTATTTATATTTAAAATTAAAAAATGAATTACTTAATCTAAAAATATACAAAATAAAAATAGTCGTTGAGGTAAAATTAAAACATATGCACGAAACAAGCACAGTAGAATCAATTTTACCATTTAACAGTCCCTTAATAAATTAACTATTTTTATAATATATGTGTGTGTATTAAATATATTATTTAATAGTTGATAATTATAATTATCCATAGGTTACTTTTTATATTATATGAGGTGGATGGCAATTTAAAAAATTAAATTTTATAAGATTAAATATAATTAGCTCATAAAATTATTTATTTATTTTTTAGAAGGAGGTGCCAAAAGTGTATCAGTCACAAACTCAATAGTTTATATGTTGGTCAAAGATAACATGCCACTTTGGTCGACTGAAAAAGATGGTTTTAAACTTTTGATGAAAACTGTGGCACCGAAGTATAAAATTCCATCTAGGAAGACCATCACCAAACTAATAAGTTCAAAGTATGATGTACTATCCGCTCAAATCAAAAATAAACTATCGTTAGTGGAAAATATCACCTTAACGACAGATATTTGGACAGACACCATCAACACAAAAAGTTATCTTGGCATGACCGGACTTTCTAAGTCTATCCAAATTACAGTTGGAAAGTGTCACATTAGGTGTTCTTGAACTACAAGAACGCCATACATCAGAAAATATCATTGGGTGGCTTAACAATCTGCTTGTTAAATGGGGTATTGAAAAAAATCAAATAATTCTTGTTGTAACTGATAATGGCGCTAACATAAAAAATGCTGTGTACAATTTCTTCGGCAAGGACAAACATTTACCTTGCTTTGCGCATACATTAAACCTAGTGGTTCAAAATGCTTTAGATGACACCAATGACATTGCCAATTTAATTAATGAAATAAAACGTTTGGTATCTTTTTTTAAGCATTCCGTGGCTGCAACCGATGAATTTAATAAAATTTCTAAATTAAAATTAAAACAAAGCGTTCCTACGCGATGGAATTCCATATATTATATGTTAGAAAGATTCATTATTTGTTCAGACAACATAGCATCCACTATAGTTAAATTCCATAATAGTCCACCTATGATTTTTGGTACCCAGTTATTCATTGCTAAAGAAATAATGTTTCTACTCAAACCTTTTGAAGCTGCAACAAAAGAACTATGTGGCCAAAACTATGTGACGGCTAGTAAAGTAATCCCATTACTTCATTGCCTAATAAAAAAAATTGAACCAATTGAAATTAAAAATGTTATTTCTCTAGATTTTAAGAACAATTTACTTAAAAATTTAAATACCCGGTTTGGTAGGGTCGAGTATTTGGATATTTTATCTATAGCTACTATTCTAGATCCCCGATTCAAAACACTTCATTCGAATTGCTTCTTCAAAAGCCATTGGCATTATTAAAAAAAAAAATAACAGATATCAGAACTGAATGTAGTGAGAGCAGTTCTTCTAACATAGACAATTCATCAGATGATGAAAATCCAGATAACTTATGGTCAGTTCATAAGGAGCTGGTCTCTAAAAAAGCTGTCAATGAACCTATGTATTCAAATGAAATGCCTACTGATTTAAAGCACTATTTAAATCAGCCAACTTTGTCATTAGGTGATGATATTTTAAAATTTTGGGATACCCATGGGCCAATTTATCCTAGCCTTAAAAAAGTTGTAGAGCTAACCTAGCGATAGTAGCTACTTCAGTACCATCAGAGCGTTTGTTTCCGAAAGCTGGACAGATAGTAACGGATAGTCGCAACCGATTGACAGGTAAAAATTTGAACCAACTTATGTTTCTTGGGTCTCTTTCTGAAAAAGATTGGCATTTAGATTTAACATAATTGAATAACATAAGAAATATTGTCGCTATATGTATATAATTTTATAGGTATTTTCATTTTACTTAAGAGGACGATACCCATGGGTGTACTCTTAAGGTGTACTCATTCTTTTTATTAAAACATTGTAAAATTGTATATTTTTAAGTGTATCTGTTAAAATTATGTATTATTTATTAATAAAGTATATAATTAAAAAATATCACACTATTTTTTTATTATTACTCATGCATTAAATTAAAGTTTGATTCAAAACAAAGATGCATAGTATTATATACCTACTTAGATATAAAATTGTTTAAATATCTAAAATATGTAATAATTTATTTATTTATTAACGTTTAAAGACAAACTACATAACATCAAGAATGTGAATTCAATGAAGAGTAAAATGCGTTTATGACGGTACCCATATAGCACATTTAATGTATTGATGTATATTTGATATTCAGTTGAAATACGTTTTTGTATATTCGTTAGTTAATATACATACAATGTTTTGACGTTATTTGAAAATCAATGTATTAGTTTATATATTTCTATGATAACTTCTGTACATCAAGATTCTGATATAAAAAAAA